CTAGTGTTATGCTGTCCAATAGGACTTTCTGAGATGATGAAAATGCTGAAATGGAAAGAAACAATAGCCACTGGTCAATATGGTGCCTGAGCACTTGAACTGTGGTGGCTATGCAAACAGAACTGAATTTTTTGATTTAATTAATTCAAATTTAAATAGCCAAATATGGATAGTAGCTACCATATTGGATAGGGCAGCCCTAGTGTGTGTTATAGAGGTAAACAAGACAGACAAGGATCTTGCCTTCATGAACTTTACAATCCAGGGTAATAGAAAGATATTAAACAAATAAGCCAATAAATATGTAATGTTAGGTGGTGACTGAAAGTGGTCCCTTTGGGAAGAGTGATTAAGGAAGGCCTCTTTAGAGAAATGTGGATAGGTACATGCCCTTTCTATATGATCCCATGAATCCTATAGTAACACATAGCATAGAACTCTATGAAAATGCCCGCTTGTCTTCTTCAGCTGTACTCCAGCACACACCATAATAAATACATTTCTTGACCACATGTGCATAAGTAATCTATAAAACTCCTAAAACTGACCTAGTCAGGCAGTGTTCAAAACACACCAGAAGCTCAGAGTTCAGAAAACGTGGAATGAGACTAGAGCAAAAACAATCTGCTGTTTCTTCCCATCCAGTCTCACGCAGCTTTGGAGCCTCACTTCAAAACACAGCAATGCGAAGCAAAGATCGCCGCCTCCTTTCGTTCTTTTCATCCCCTAATTTCATGGTGAATGACAGTCTCTTAGCTGAATGGCAGACTCGTGTGCCAGAACACTCTCCTCAGCTATTGCAAAAAACACTTTAAACAGACTGCTTCACGCAACACTACACTTCTTTCGCCTACCATTAAATGTGCAATTCCTGGAAAGTAAATTTCTACTCAGTCCTTAAAGGCTCTCCGCCGCTCTAACACATCAAACATCATACAAGCATTCAATTAAGAGTTAATGACGTTAGAGAAAAAAGGGAAGCACAGAAGACAAACGCTTTGTCTTTTCCCTTTTATATTCGGAAGTAATGAGGCAAAGTGACTCACAGGCTCTGGGACAGGGAGTAAAAAGGAAGCTCCGAGTTGAGAGGAAAATGGTTGGGACGTGAAAAAGGCAGAAACTGAAGATTCCAAAAGCCCTCGACTTACAGCTTTTCAGACCCTCCCACCGTAGCTCGGGGGAGTGAGAGCGACCGCAGGCCCGTCCGAAAAGGCAGGAACCGTTCACAGCCGGGTAGGCGGCGGCACAGCCCCCTGTGGGCGACCAGTTTGCTGTCCGCCTACACTGCGTCTTTCCGCTGGCGGGAGCCCCAGCTCTGTGCCGACCCCGCTAACTGTGGCGACGAGTTACCTGCTGGTCTCGAACGAAGAATAGCGTTCCGGCAAGACCTGGAGGCATCGCTGGAAGAACCGCACGTGTCGGTCCCTCAGGAAATCCAGCCGCTCTCCCTCACCGCTCCCTGCCAGCCTCTCCTCCTCAGTGGTCGCCATGCTGCTCCGGAAGCGACGTCCGCCGCAACCCGGAAGTAATTGGCGGTGGCGAGAACAAAACCCAACGGGTAACCCGGAGCCGTATGTGGCGAAGGGATGTTCGCCTGTCGCAGGCCATTCTGGTGATTGAAACCGTCCACTGTCAGTGGAAAATCTGGTGCAACACTTTCTCTGATTTTTCCATAGCTAGCGCAATACTCAACCTTTTATATTCTAAGCCCCAGAAGTTTGGAAACACCTCGCAGGCCTCGTGCTATAAAATCAGCCCACAAATCCCTCCGTCAGAACTTTTATCCTCCTCCGGTATTTGGGAGGAAGTACAAGGTCAATAGGTTCTTGTACTCTTTGAGAAAATTCTGGCCCTAAAGAATGTGAGCATAGTGTATCCGAAAATGGGGGTGGATCAGTATAAATTTGCTAATAGTCTGAATTTTGGAGGGCCACAGTTTTAAGCTGAATGGATAGGGAATTAAGCGTACAAATCAAAACGTGGAAATAAAGTTTATTAATTATTGACACTCCAAAAGTTCAGAGACTTTCCTAATCCTCTCTGGAATACCAGGAATCACTTTAAAATATATGCATATTTGCAACACACACAACATACATATTCGTACGTGGGTGAAACTACTGGCATTATTTTTTTACACATTTTACATACTTTACTCTTTGCTTGCGTCGATGTGTCATCAGGAATCAACATTGCATCAATATATGGCAGCAAAATAAACTCAACATGTTCTCCAACTACCTGTATACTAAAAAAAGGAAATAACACGCTTCTAGTTGTTTTCCAAAAATATAGATTTAAGTTGCTTTAGCCATATGCTGTTCCTTTTAAAGGTTCATGAGGCATTTTTGGCCAGGAGTGCGTAAATCCATCCAAGCATGGGGCCTAAACTAGGTTCTTTGTAATCAACTTATCTAACAAGTTTGGGCATAATTTTAATTGTTAGCTTTCTTAGAAAATGTAATTCTTAAGAAAATGTACCCTGTGGGCTGGAGTTATCTTATACTTATTCAATAGTCCAAAGCAACTTGAATAACTTTTGGTACTAGTAACTACTTAGTGACAGGTATTCTTGCATGTCTTTTAACAAATACTGTATTAACAAACAGCACTACATGGAAGAGGGCTATCTTTGGTGCTTCCCTATAAATATGGAGCTCACAGTCCTTGCCCTTCACGTATGCCCAGTCTAGAGTTATTTTCACTGGTACAATTAAGACTGATCTCTCACAGATACCCTCAAATGCCTGAAGATGTTCAAAGTGGAGTCATATCACACACATTAAACTTACTAGAATCAACTATGAACACTATATGTGCTCAGAAAATTATTAATAATTCTAATCATGGTCCTTAAAGTAGGGAAGCCAAATATTTAATCCAATTCTCAGCTCAAGGACCAGCAGTCTGATGTAAAGCTGGAGGAAAAACTTGTTGCATTGGACTCATTGAGAGATAATATAATATACCTCCTAGGTCAGTAAAAAGCTTTTCATGAGTGATTTTAACCATACATGCTTTTTTGCATATGCATGACAATCTATTAATAACCTCCACATAAAGTACTACTCTACATTTTTAGCTAAGAAGTGAAAATAGCTCAAGTCTTCAAAGTATAAGATAGACCATCTATATAATTAAATATTATTTAGCCATTAAATGATAATGTTTGAATTATGCAGAAACATAGGAAAACGTGTAATGTAAAGTAATTATAGTATAGTAATTAATATGTACTATATGACTGTACCTATTTTAAAATATGTAGGTATATTTTTGGAAAAAGTTACCCTGAAATTACAGGCATTCTATAACATTTCTTCTTTATTGTTTGTTTCCCTAAATTTCTTATTAATGTACTTTTTAAACCAGTATAAGAAATGTTTATTTGACATCACTTCTATGAACCCATAACTAAAGACATTCTCAATTATGTTTATTCTACATTCTTTATACAAAGGAACTATATAATAAATTCCTCATTTCAGATTCAGTTAGAAAGACTGATTTCTTCAGAAGAACTTCCATACTTTCTTTTATTAAAAAACAAAACCAAAAATAAAAAGGCATAAGAATCATATCACCCAGAATGCTTACCTTAGATGGCTCAGATCCAGGAAATTGAGAGGTGCATTTGTGTGCAACAAAAAGCAACATGTAAAAAAGCAACACATAAGAAACATTTACTTTTCTGTATCTTGTAGCTATTCAGTACTGTTTTTAAATTCCCTCCTCTTGTTCCATATTTTATTTCTAAACTGCTTCAAATTGTTTAAAAA